AATATTATTATATTATTATTATATGTTAAATATATATTAGCATTATATATATAGATAGATAGAGATAGATAAATAAATAGATTTATAACTATTATATTATTTTTTTATTATCTTTTTTATATTAAGTTTTAAAATAATTACAAGAACGATTATAATTCATAACTTTTTTATTGAGGATAAATATAAAACCCAATATAAATAATAATTTGATTCATAATAATATAACTTAAGAGGAGAGAAAATGAATAGTTTATTCATTAATAATTGTATATAATAATTATATAATAAATAATAAATAAATAGTATAATATTATTATTATATATTAAATATATATAAATGCATACCTTATTCAATGCATAGGGTAGCATTTTTTATATATATATATAAAAGAATATATGGTCCTATCTCCTTTAAAGAATGTATATTTCGTAATCATCTTTTAATTTAATAAAAGTTATGACCATAAAAGAAATACACATTTTTAGCTTCATAAAAAATCATATCAATTTTATTTTACTATTATAAATTGATCAAGAAATAACAACATAACCATAACCATTGAATTTGAAGAGTCAATTTTCAAATGTATATATATATATATATTGAATTTGAAATGTTACATGTGGGACTTAAAAAAAAAAAAAAAACTGACTTTCAATAGAGTTAACTCTATCTAAAAGATTCGTTATTGCCACACATTAACTATTAATACCATAATATTTATATTGTCTATACTATTTTACCCATTATTATGTTAATAATCTCTTAAAACACTTTCATTTACTTTTTCAAATCTACCCTTAAGATAAATTGGGCTAGTGACTAATTGCCAAATAAAAAAATAAAAATAATAATTAAAATGGAAACAAAAACGAGGCAAAAACCAACATTTAGTCCTTTACCTTACAAAATTGGTAGATTTTAGCCCTTCAACTTATAACATGACATTTTTAGCCCTTTATCTTACAAAGTTGATAGGTTTTAGCTCCTCATCTTATAAAGTTGGAAAGTTTTAACCCCTCACCTTATATTATGATATTTTTAATCCCTCACCTTATATTATGATATTTTTAACCCCTCACCTGTATGAATTTGAAGAAAATAACCCTCACATAGTATCAGGTTATAACGTTCTATTAGTTCTGTTAATTGATTGTTAATATTCGTTAGTATTCCATCATAGAAAATATTAAATTTAAATTCAATTTTATTTGTTAGTTCCATTAATGAAATTATAATATCTCAAAATTTTGTGATATTTTAGCATCCGTTAAGGATTAAATTGTGGAAAAATATTGTTTTGGGCTTAATAGCTAAAATGTCCAAACTTGAGGGACTTAAAGAGGGAAAGATTTTGGATAAGGATCTACTATTTTTTCCTTCTTTCTTCCTTCTTCAGCCCGCGCATCTGCTCATTCTTCTTCTTCCCGAAAGCCCCAAGCTACCGACTCCAATACTTAAAGAAAAAATTGGTAAGAAGCTTGTGTTTTTCTCCTCTTTTCTTGTTCAAGAACAAGATTTGGAGCCTTGAAATCTTCCCCCTGCAGGAAAGCTTCCGAATCTGCCTTGCTCTGCTTTTTCACCGTCGGCTGCTCCTGCCTTGTGGGGGCGAATTGGCCTGGTTTCTGGTAAGAAAACAACCATTAAATCCTCTTTTCTCACTTGAATTGGCTTGGGTTAACCTTGAATTCTCTTGGTCTCCAATTTTGGGTAGATTTCCCGAATTCTTCCCCTACATTGCCACCAGCTTCTCCCTAAACTGCAGCTTCGATTTTTGTTGGAAAATTCTAGTATGTGGCAGCTCCTCTAAGTCCAAATTCCACCCATTTAATTGATGAAATTTAGCCATTTATTTGCTGCCTTGTATGTCCGAAATTTGCTGAGAAATGGGGATGAATTCCGGTAGCTTTAGGACAAAGTTTAAGCAATTATTCAAGTGGAATTTATGTGATTAAGTGTAAAATGATTGCTGTGAGATTTTTGGAGAAAATCCCGTGAGATTAGCTATGGTTTTGTCAATTTTTGGAAGTGCAGTTACTGTTTATGGTACGGTTCATGTGTAATGGCCAACAATTAACGGAGATTTAAATGTTTAATTTGTAATATAAGAACAAATTTGGAGATATTTGATCATGGGAGATTGATAGGAATAGCATCGTGATTAGGGGGTAGTCATGGTGATTTTACTTTTGAATTCGTGGTACGGTAATTAATTCTTGGGTATTTTGATTAGGTTCCTGATCGTTTTGTCAGTTTAGCAATAAAATCGAGTCTTCGATTTTATACGAGTAAGATAAGTAAATTTATGGTAATGCCCGTACAGTTTTTAAAGGCATGTTTTGACTTGTTTTTGAAGTGGTGGTGAGACTAAACCCGTTTTATGCAAAAGTAAGTATAACTGATTTGAAGTGAAATTTTTATGCTTTTCATTAAATTGAGCATGCCTACTTGAAATTTAATTGATTGTCCCAATGATTTGAAAGTGATTGGTGAATTATGGTTTTTTTGTTAACTTTTGCCTGTTTTGTTTCCGATGTAGTCATGTTATTAGTGTGCTCGCTAATGGGAGGTTTATAAATGCTAGCACATGTCGACATGTTATTGATAGAACCGGTTCATTCAACCCTGCTAGTGGGGGTTATACACCAACAAATAGTGTGCCTGCCAGTGGAAGGTTTATAACACTGACCATGACCTATAGAGAAGACGTCTATTTCGTTTCCCTACTCGTACTTGTTTTTCGTGATTATACGGGTTGACATGCTATAAATTTAATTAAGGGCATTCCATATTTTATTTACTGAGTTTATCTCATAGTTTTTCCTTGTCCACCATTTCAAGAAGCGAAACCGAGGACAGGAAAACCACGAAAAGTGACGAGTTAGAAGGCTAGCTATTTTGTAAATTGAATATGGATTTTAAAAATAAATCATGATCTTATAAACTAGACTTTATTGATTTATGATATTAGAGCAAATTATAAAATTTGATCTTCAGATTTTGATGGTATCAGATTGTGGTAGGATAAGTTCCGAGCTTTGTGTATTTATGGGACCCTTTCACGAGTGCATGGTGTCTGTTGTGCCTCGAATTCGGGTTTTAGGGTGTGATAGGAATGCTAACGGATGTTAACAGGCAATTAACAGAACAAACAGTCAATTAATAAAACTAATAGTCAATTAACAAAATTAACAGTCAGTTAGTAAAATTTACAGTCAATTAATAGAACTAATAGAATATTATTGTCATGCCTCAAAACTCAAATCCGGGGATGTGGCAGACGCCGTGCACTCGGGAGACGGGTCCCACAAGTGCACAAGGCTCGGAACTCATTCAAATCACAAAATCTCAAGAATAAAATCTACCTTACAAAAGGATGATAAACTCTAAATCTTATATCCAATTAGAATGGCTAGCCTTCTACCTCGTCACTCCCCTCAGTTTCCCCGTCCTCGGTTTCGCTTCCTGAAATGGTGGACAAGGAAAAACTATGAGATAAAATATATCAGCAAGTAAAAATATGGATAGCTCTTGGTAAAGATTTAAGCATGCCAGATAAATCATGTGAACATAACAGAACTTTTAATGCTAAACCGTTAATGCAAAATCAAATTCAGTTCAATAGTAAAGCGTTCCATGACAAACCGTTAATGCAGAAGAAAATTCAGTAGAAAATTCAGTTCAATAGCAAAACGTTCAATGACAAACCATTTATGCATAATAAAACTCATCAGTAGTCTCATCTATAGGTTATGGCTAGCGTTTATAAACCTCCCACTGGCGAGCACAGTAGTAGTACCAGTGTTTAACGCCTCCCACTGGCAGGCGTCAGTAATAACCAATGTTTAACCCCATTGGCAAGATTACAGAAGTACCAATGTTTAACAAACTCCCACTGGCAGGCATCAGTAATGGTACCAGTGTTTAACAAACTCCCACTGGCAGACGTCAGTAATCACCATTGTATTATCCCATAAGCAGGATTACAGAATGGACCGATCATATCAGTAAACATGTCGACATGTGCTAGCGTTTATAAACCTCCCACTAGCGAGCACAGTAATACATGACCATATTAGAGACAAAACCATGCAGGATTTACAAAAGAAATCCATAATTCACAATCAAATCTCAAATTTCAGAAATAACCCAGAAAACTTCATGTGGGCATGCTCAACTCCAGAAAAACAATGAAATTCTCATTTTCATTCCAATCATACTCAATTCCAGAAAAACAATGAAATTCCCATTTTCATTCCAATCATACTCAATTCCAGAAAAACAATGAAATTCCCATTTTCATTCCAATCATCCTCAATTCTAGAAAAACAATGAAATTCCCATTTTCATTCCAATCATACTCAATTCCAGAAAAACAATGATTTTCATAAAAATCATTACAATTTTTCATTTCAATTTAATCACACTTAAATGCTGATAAAATCAATTTAAACCTTGCCGCATCTCAAAAACAATTTAAAATATGCTTTAAAATCGAAGGGTTTTACCATAATTTACTTACCTCACTCGCACAGAACAGAAGGCTTAACCCAAGTGCTACGGTGACAAAATGATCAAAACCTAATCACAATATTCCAAAGTTAATACCGCACTATCACAAATTCATAGTAAAATCATCTTTAGCACTACCCCTAATCATAGTGCTATTTCTATCAATCTCCACATGACCGGACATCTCCAAATTTGTTCTTATATTACAAACTAAACATTTAAATCCCCATTAATTGTTGACCCTCGTGTGTGAACAGTGCTCATGAACAGTACCATGAACACTACCATGAACAGTAACTTCACTTCCAAATTTGGCCAAAACACTAGCTAATTTCGTGGGATTTTTCTCCAAAATCACAACAACCCAATTCAAGCTAATTTACACTTAAACCAAGCTTAAAAACATAGCTTAAGCTACCAAAATTTTCCCATT